GTTAATAATAGACCTAATCCTAAAATTGTAGATTTGTCATGATATAACTGCCTAATATATAAGATCTTACGTAGACGTCATAGCATCGTCTACACCAACTCATCGTATCGTAACAATCACCAATACATGATGTAGAACAAGCTTAGGCTAGAGACAGAATAATATATTTATTTCGAATAAAATATATAAGGAAACATTCAACAAGGACCACGCCTGCAAGGCCGGGCCATGCCATACGATCAACTCCAATTAATCTAACTACTTGTTCCCGCCTTCTCCATCGCTAGGTATTTCTCCGCGTTAAATATTGAATATCTATTTTCCGAGTAGTCTCGTGTTCAGCTTTTAGGGTTGTGTGGTTACGGTCCGATGCCGCTACACGCTTATCACTTATACTCGGAACGAGGGACCTCCGCAACTTCCACAACGCGAAGTAAGAACACAAGACTGGTATAAAAGAAGATTTATTCACCCCAAAACACGATTACAACGATAACGAAAGATGCACTCGTTTACGTATGATTGTACACACAATTTGATTTATAATTAGGATGAAATCACATATATAAAAAATACATAGAGTTATAACAAATCACATGCTGAGCATAGTTCATTTCAATGGAATATTCTCCCCGGGAGTTGGGAGAGTCCGCTTTCTCTCTCTCGAAATGCTCTCACATGGCCACGCGTATATAGCCTCTGCCAAGAAAGTTCTACTCACTGCCTTCTCGTGGCGGGGGAGTTTTTCACGAAATTGAGAGGACGAAAAGCGAATGTCCGGCGCTTTATCCGGGTTGGTGGACATGGAGTTGGAAAACCTTTATTCCAAACCAATGGTGTACATGGGCTCCAGGATCCTGCGGGGACAAATGGCGTACGAACCAATAGTTGGTCACCGGCTACCATGGGACTGCATCTCCTTACGATGCTCCACTGCCTTGTGGATCAGACCTTCAGGTCGAAGGCGCCGGGCATGGCCCCCTAAGATAACCACCTGCTTCGGTTTGGGCACCCGGGCAGTATCACAGCCCTCACACACATCGAATGAGATTTGTGTGGCGCATATGTACTTGGTGCCTCTTTGTACCAATATCGATGCGTTAAAATAATAATAACACAGAACAAAATATCATACGAGAAAATAAAACAAAGACTACACTGAATGATCATCACATTGAATTAGAACGAAAGTAATGTTGAACAAAACTCGTAATTAATAGATCAACCGAATTTTGTCTTCTTACTACCATATCAGCTTTCAAGCCAAATATTAGCATTTCGGTTTTTACAGTGGTATCGACTGTAGTTGCTGCATAGTTTGTAGTAAACTGCTTGTAATAGTTATTGCATCTCCTTGTGGTTTGCTGCAGTGGCTAATAAGTTGTTCACGTAGCTCTCAAATTGTTCCGTACATTATTTCAACGGATGTGCATCATATATCCTTTCTTACCACTGATCGTATCTCTAGGGGAATGAGGAAAATGGCATCACCATGTTTGGCTTTATTAGCCAGAGACGTAAGCGAGCTTGGAGACGTCTAGACAGGTCGGAAAATTTCTCAGGCTGTTAGAAATTCGTGCGGTGTACTATTGTATCAAGAAATATTGCTACACTATAGCTTTACATATCAAGGTGAAATCACTGCTAAATCATGTGTTTTTGAAATAAACTTGGACTCACTTGAGGTTGATTGACAGTATACTAAATCTACATTCTCAATCACTGAATAACATGTCTGCAAATACAGAAAGCTCCGACGATAAAGATGAAACGAAAAATCAAATCAAGGTCCTCCAGACTGTTTAAAGGTGTGAGCTGCTGAGCAAGAACTCTAGCTGCTTCCCAATCAAATCCAAATAGCATAACTGTTTTTTACGAAACAGCCAGTACATTATGTTGCATTTCAAAAACTGATAGAGAAATGAAGCACTCTGGAGTTATCTCTCTTGTGATGTACTCTGCTTGGAAGACACTAACAGTGATGATCGAGCAAGAAACTCATGACATTAGTATATATGCTGACATTTCAACTGATCTAAATGCCTCTCTGGAACACCACCATCTGCAACCTGTAATTAAAGACGTGCATGATAAGTTGATGAAAAATATTTTGCGAAATTAAATATCAGCGATGCATATATACCGGTGGAGGTTTGATTGTAAAACCACGAACGTCTCACCACCAACACACAGAAAGGGTTATTCGAATGTAACTAATTGCCTTTTGGAGTTAAAATTGCCCAGTTATCTTTCAACAGATAATGGGTGCTGCGATACGAAACACCAATGTGGCTGCATTATACCTAGATGTTATAATCATTATGCGAGCTCTGAATACTGAACTTAGAGAAAGAAGTCAAAGAGTTTTTAAGTATATTGAGAAATGGGGTTCGACTGTACCCAGAAAGATTCTTACTTCCTTAAGTTCAATTACGTACTTCGGACTTATCACTAATGCCATTGCGATCGAGAAAATGTCAAAAGTAATCAAAATGCGCCTACATAGTACTTCAGTTGCATACTACTACCCTTTTGCAAAGGTCGTTTCCATCACAAATAGTGAGCCTTACATCGGCAGTACTAAGAGTTTATAACATCACTTACCGAGGGACCAATGGTCTTTGTCATGAGAAAAAAACGTGTTGGGATATTCAGAAAAATATCCCAAAAATTATTCTGTTAAGTCTAATGCTATCCTTGGACTTGAGATGGTATCATCTTCCTATTGGTCAATATTTATTTCACACGTCGTTCCCCTACTGGTCAATATTTATTTTACGTGTCATTTTCCTACTGGTCAATACATATTTCATGTGTCATTTTCCTGTTGGCCATATATTGTACAAATGTTATTTTCTATTTTATGGTAGGATGTGGTCTGCTTGATTAGTATATAAACAGAGTATGTATGAAATATAATGATTTATATCGCAGAGGCTGAGACTTTGTTCTGGACTTATCTGGCTGGGCTAGGCGGAAAGCAGGGCCAATCAGTACTCTAGACTGCTCGCACGTGTTTATGCGTCATTGTTCCGATCGATAAGTCACTGCCCTTTAATCGGCGGTCATAGGTTATAATAAAAAGATTTAATGAAGAGTTTGGTTGATTGACGAGTATACTAAAACTTCACAAACTTATAACCGGTTATTCAATGAGAACATGGAAATTTTTGCAAAGATTTTACTATAACGAAGCCTAAAGGTTAATAGGCAAATGAATTTACAATAAAACCAAAGCTTCAGTTGTATAACGGGATATTAACAAATTGCAGTCTATAATTTTCAGATGACAGTAAATACCGGTGAGAATTCTCGATTACAGTTAACCATAATAAATGTACGAATGGTGAGATGGATATTGCTATAAAAACCTCTTAAGTTAGTCTATTTAATACTAAACAAACCTCCTTTAGATAACTAAAATTCGAACTTTGTTTAGTTGATGAAATGGATATTATTTTTAAATAAAAAAAAGAATGAAAATCTGACAACAGTAATGATCCTTCATTGCTTCCTTCACTCATTTACATAAAAACAGAGAAGAACAAACTCAATTATAAACATTTAGAATAAAATACATTACTACACATGTATACTTGTTAAACATACAAGAGAGTAAAGAGAATAAAACTAACAATACAATTTATGATAGAATATTAAGTAACAAGTATAACTAAACTGGTACATATATTCATCACCTAAAAAAAGAAGATCAGTCAAAAATTAAAACCAATAGCGCATATAGACATAACTATGGAACATAAATGACCATATGAAGAGAAAATGAAAAAAAAGAAAGGAAACAAACATACAATAGAAAAACAAAGTACAAACAAACAAACAAATGAAATAATCAAACGGACAATAGAATCCATCAAAATTCATTGTATTCAAAGTCTATCAAGAATACAATTTATAAAAAGTGTATGTCACTAAGGTTTAATGAAACAATGATACACATATAAAATTCATCAATTACATCAATACACATAAACGCATTAGTTTATTCATCATTATATAAATATGCAGTGAATTTGACAATGATGAACATATTGAGCATAATTTGACACGTAAACATTAGTTTACATTTATAATAAATTAATGATGGAGATAATAAAAAAAAATGAGTAAATTTAACAAAAAAAAACAAACAAACAGATAAAGTCAACATTTAAAACAAACAATCAGGATTATCAAACATAACAATATTACTCTGTATCCTTAATTTCCAGATCATAGAAATGCACAAACAGAACACACACAAAAAAAGACAACTTGACAACAAGAACAAAGTATCATTGAAAGGAATGGAAAACAGTAAACAGTAACACATTTAAACAAATATTTTTTGAAAAAAATAATACGAAATATCAACTATTTAGTTTCATTTACAATTAGATTGGTAACAGACAAACGTTGAAATGCAACAATAATAATAATAATAATAATAATAAAAACAAGCAAATAGGTGTAATAACCATTAGAAATTACGAAAACAATTGTGGAAATGTAATACATTATTATTATTATCATTACTATGTGTAATGCAAAAGATTATTGATAACTGCAAGTTCCATTAATATCCATGCTGATTGCATGAATAGAAGATAAATGTTTTTCTATAAAAAAAAAAATAAAACAAACATTTTTAAAAAGTAAGACAAATTAAATGATCGAGATATACTATTTATTTAGTCAAAGCTAAATAACGGCGGACTGCTTAAGCATCTGGGCTACCTGTTCCTGTCATCCAGATATTTCAACAAGTTATCTATTTTTATTTGTTTTAATATATCAATATGTTTATTAGTCACATAACCTATTCTCCTGCGTTTCTGAAAAGTGTACAACCTTTCGTTGTCAAAGTTACAAAAAACTCAATAAGAGCCAATGTGGTTGTTGGCAATATACAGCGAAAAGAATGCACATTATTCAGATGTTCATTTACTGAACTGCTAACATCTAACTGGCGATCACTCAATATTTATCGCCAGGACCGACCAAGAAGAAAAAAATGGAAACTTGTTGAAATACTTTACGCTGAGAATTCTATATTGTAACAAAAATATAATATTGAATAAAGCTGATGATAATAATAATAATTTGGAAATTTTAGGTAGTATTATATTCTCCTAGTGGTTGTTGTGAGATTATGAAAACCTCCATATTTGAGAGGAAGCACGGAATACAATGGACGATTTGAACTTCTCAGATGACCTAGCTCTTACAATACATACATACCAACAAATGCAGATGGATACAGCTAGTGTAGTACTAGGCTCTGCAGCAGTACGACTCAATATTCACAAGGGGAAAAGTAAGGTCCTCAAATGCAACACGGAAAACACTAATCCAATCACACTTGATGGAGAAATTCTGGAGGTGGAAACCTATACATACATACACACATGAGCAGCATCGTCGATAAACAGAGAAGATCTGATACAGATGTGAAGATCAAGATTAACAAAGTAAGAGCAGCATTCCTACAGTTGAAGAACATATGGAACTCAAAACAACTGTCAACCAATATCAATACGAATGTCAAGACAGTTCTACTGTATGCAGCTGAAACTTCGAGAACTACTACCACGATCGTCAAAATGTAGGAATTTTTTTGAACAATTGTCTACGCAAGATACTCCATATCCGTTGGTCAAATACGACCAGTAAGAACCTACTGTGACAGAAAACAAACCAACTTCCAGCTAAATATGAAATTAGGAAATGACGCTAGAGGTGGATAGGACATATATTGTGGGAGTCATCAAACTGCATCACGAAGCAAGTCCTAACTTGGAATCCTGAAGAGAAAAGGAAAATAGGAACACCAAGGAATACATTGCTTTTTGAATTGGAAGTAACTGGAAAGGATTACCCAGAACAGAGTTCGATAGGGAATTTTGCTGAGTGGTTTATGCTCCTCTTTAAAAAGTGGACGTTGATTATGTTGTCCAGAACGACAACAAGAGCTATACAATTAACCCAGATAACTATCACCAAAAGTACATTTGCACACATGATTTCAATCCTAATCTTGACCCTACATAAATAACTTATTCGTACTATAGCACAGAGCAATGACAAATTTATCACAACAGCTCAATAAATGGAAGCCAACTACTTAGTTTGAAAAGCCTTTAAATTCATCATAATCCACATATCAATAAACAATGACCTATTGCGATGATTAGAAAAGTTGTTCTGAATGCAACAGATTTTTATTGAATTCTCATCATTATTATTGTTATTACAATCATTTGACTGTTATGCTATTTGATTTGATTTTCTTAATATGATAGGAAAACTTGAGCTTATACACATCAGTACTATGATCTACGTTTGATTATGATTAATGCAATTGATATAAACGATTAATAATGTTTGAGTTTGTCATACTTGAAACATTGTCAAATAAAATTCTTAATAATTTGGTCATCACATATAAACAAGCATAGACATTCAATACAACCTTTCCCATTTATAAACTTGATTTTAGAAAGAATATACATTGTAGCAAAATAACATAAATCCATCTATTTCATCCATTCTCCTCAGATGTTTATGATCTAAAATCATAATATTAATCATTAAAACAAATGTACATATTTTATATTAACCGTGTAATCGCTAATCATTCGCTCGACAGTGGATATGTGGTTAAAATTGTGAAGAAGCTGTTCGAATAAAAATATTTCAGTTCAATTCATGTATCTAACAAGTAACAGTACTAAATCTTGTTTTATCCTATTGACCTTAATTTTGTGAGATTATTATGCAAGGACATTTTTCCACAAACTTTAATTGAAATTTCCAATACCATAATTTGAGCATTACTCAACTAGTCCCGTAGGTATGGTATGTGCTTTGCACCTTCGAAGTGCAAAGTACTTCTACAAGACTAGCAGGATCCCAATCCTGTACTCACCCTGGATGGTGAGCAGATAGACGTAGTCGAGAATTCCGTGTATCTGGGTAGCTGCATAAGTGCTGGTGGGGGTGTGAGTGATGAGATCAATACACGAATAGTGAAAGCCAGAGCGGCTTATGCCAATCTGGGCCACCTTTGGCGCCTTCGTGATGTTAGTCTGGCTGTAAAAGGCCGGATCTACAACGCGTCGGTGAGAGCAGTTTTGCTCTATGCTTGTAAAACCTGACCTCTCCGAGTTGAGGATGTTAGACGACTCTCTGTGTTCGATCATCGCTGTCTCCGAAGGATTGCTGACATTCAGTAGCAACACCATGTCAGTAATGCAGAGGTTCGGCATCGTGTGTTCGGGCACAGAGACGACAATCCAATTGGTGTCACTATCTTGAAACATCGACTTCGATGGCTTGGACATGTTCTCCGAATGTCGTCCCAGAGAATTCCACGTCGTGCATTATTTGCCGACTCTGGGACTGGTTGGAAGAAGCGGAGAGGTGGTCAGTGCATGACATGGTGTCGTGGTATGAAAGAAAGCTGCAAAGGACTGGCTTCTGTCGGTCCTTCACGACTCCCTGGTTGGGGTCCGAGAGATGGTGCAACACAGTGGCTAGAGACGTTACCAGATATGGCTCAGAATAGAAGCCAGTGGCGATCCTGCTGTAATCTTCTTTTACTTTCTTCATAAAAAGTGGTTGTGTCTCCCTTACCTGAAAGATTTCTTCCGACTGTACCTTTGCGTTCCCTCATTACTACCACACTACCTTACACCAATCTCTTCGTTATTGTTCTCTTTTTTTTATATTTCTCTTCAAATTCTCATTGTTTTGTGTGGCGCATATATATTGGCGCTCTCTTGTACCAATATTTATGTGTTCAAATAAATAAATAAATTACTCAACTAGTCTATACTGTATAAACTATCTTTGGTTTCAAAAAAATTCTGTCTCCATACTTTTTCTAGAATATTTATATATTTAGTCTGTAAATAAGCAAACGTTTGTACGCTGTTAATTCTTCTGTATTATTGTCTCTAAATATGATCCACATATTAACTTAATTTATTCTAGATGCTTCTAATATAAAGCGTATACACTTAATTCATTTTAATGATTTATTCTATAGTTTTAAGTTGTAAACAGCTCAAGAGGATTAATGAAATAAACGAATTCATGTTATTCTGTCATGATATTTGTTCTGTCTTTATTCAAATATACAGATAAACAGTTAAATTTAATTTAAATAGTTGAAATCATGAATCCATTGAAGCTCGATCGTCATGGAAAACCTGGACGGCCGCCTTGTTCTATTGTGGGACTACTCCTCTCAACAGTGTACATCTACGATCCCATAAGTTGTATTATATCAAGGTAAATATTAATTTCTTTTTTATTAATACAATTTATCAATTGATTCTTATTCGAAGGAGTGTATTATTATTTCTTCTCATTTTCGCACTAAATCATTATATTAACACAGTACAAAACACAACCATTGTGACACAATAAAAAAAAGAATAAATTTCTCTTCATATTACTAATATGAATCAAATGACGCAAACTACATAAATGAAGTATTCTCTGTATATTATAAACATAAATGTAGTAAAAATTGTAAAACATAATACGTAAACAATATTGATGTATACATATAAATAGTATCAAGAGAATTCCCTTTGAGTAAACTATATAAAAATGTATCTTCAGTAGGAATATAAATGAATGTACTGCATTAAATCAGAATATCGTTACCATAATTTGTTATAAAATTATTGAAAGATTAAGGTTTTGCAAATTTATAAATGCTTTCGAGAAATACGAATAGCATTGTGGTGTGTGCTACTGATGTCGACAGATATAAGTAGTATGAATCACTAATCGAAAGTGGAATGTTTGGCGTCAGAAGGTTGAGAAAATCGAAGAGGAAAGAATAAGAACAGAGAGTGATTAGTATGGAAACGAATGAACAACAAAGTCTGAGACAATTGATGGATATTTTGCAAACGAATTGTCTACTGTATGGTTCACAGATTTTACCAAGATATTCTGTAATATTGTAATAAAATACATTTAGTTGTCCCCTCTTGTGTTCTCGTCCACTACAGTATCAGCATATGATTTATGTTTATTTAGTAAATTACAATGAAAGTACGCAAATAATTAGATACAACAGTCCTGATAGATAAATGAATAGTTATATTGAAATACTGTGATTATTAACTACGTCCTGCTTCTGTTGTCTAACATATACACTAGTAAAAAAATGTCATATTATACAAGCAGCTTATTGTATGATTTATAAAATTTTGAACTTTAAAACAATGACAATAATGTAAACTTAACTTGAGCTCAAGAATTAACAGTTAATTTATGATGTTTATCCGAATACAAATGGAATAACGAGGAGTTCTTTTGGATGTAATGAAAAAGTTTCGACAGTGTTGAATGTAATAATTTACGATTGTAGCTACTACCTTGACATGGTTATTGAGCATGTATATCGTAATGACTAAATTAATCTATATTGTTTCCAACACTCGTTCTATGAGGTCCTATAGTGCCAGGCACGTTGGATGAAAACAGTAAACGCATGGCATGCAAGGAGGAGTCTTAATTCTGACTATGCAGAGGTATGACAGTGTAGTAAACGAGGACTTGGAGGAGATAACCAATTTATTGTTTAACGCAAAATCACACAATGGTTTAGTAAAATGCATTTCCATATCTTCATTGCGTTGTACTTTACACACACCATCATTGCTCTAAATCTGTTATTTCGATTGCGTCCAGATATTCTTCCTATTCTCTTCATTACAATCTTATACTGCCAGGCATTTTACTTCCGATTGGTGCTATATATTTTTTATGTCTATCAGCATAAGTGGCATACACCGCAACAGTAGAAAAATGTCTTTTTAACCAATCAGCATTCTCTCAACGAAAAGAAGAGGTTAGGATTTCCATCAACAATGGTAAGGAATTGTAAGTATGTGGAGAGCTCATCACAAGAAATCTGCATGCAACTGCTATTAAGCAGTTGTTCCATGAGCACTGGGATCAAATCCCAAGGTAAGGACATAAAACCGAAAACGCAAATAATTTCAGTAGAAAAGAAAAATTTATACATGAACATCGAATTCAAGGGTGATAGAGTCACATACATTTTAAAAAGGAGAATTTCTGACTCTTTAAAAAGAACATTCTTCACAGCAAGATTGCGAATAATTTTCACCAGCCGATCATTGTTCACCAATAGTCTTAAAGATAAATTATCGCATCTGACCAACTCAATGTGTATTTACCAATTTACCTGCTCATGTGGAGCTAGGTATATAGGTCGTTCGATGCGTACTTTATCCAAAAGAATTCAAGAACATTGTCCGACGTGGCTAAAAAGAGGAGGCAACGGCTCAATAAGAAGTTCAACAATCGAACACCTTGTGAACACAGGTCACTTAATCAAGACAGACTGGGTTCAAAGTCATCTATAAGGTAAGCAGAAGTCTTCGAAAGACAATTAGACTGTATATTCTTTGCATTACCGAAGCATTAACCATACATCTAGAAAAACCAGAATTGTGTGCAAAAGCGACTGGTACAACCTCTTCTTCTACCATGGTCTTATAGTTTTTTTTCTCTTTCCCCATACTCTTCTTCCTTTACAGACGTCTGCTTCACCTTCCATCTTCCCCCTTAATCTTCTATCCCCAACTGGTTTATTTTGTTCCCACGACCATCCTGATTATATTTTATCTTATTATGCTGAGCCGTCCTTTCCCAATGATAATTTCCCTTTTTATCTTTTGATGAATACTTAGGCCATTAACAACCAAACGATTATTAAACGTTCCTTGCTTTAAAAATTTTTTTAATACATTTGTTTATTTAGCATCACTGTCACCAAATCTAACAGAAGTTTATTATCAGTATTATTATCATCCTGTAAAATAAGTATATATATATATATATCTGCGATTGTACAGCTTTGAAAATGAATTCGCCGAAAAGAGAACTGTTCGCTGAACTAATCTTTCTTATTTAAAGTCTTAATGAGTGTATTCCGTTTACTTGAATGCAACTGCGCCAGTGCGAACGATTCTGAGCGATGTCAACCAGACTCTGTAACCATAGGTTACGATAATCACACAGACACCCCCGACAACCAGGTAGCCTGCATTTACCTATGTGGCTAAGTCCGACAGTTAGATGAAAAATATATTCAATAACATACAGTGCACTGAATTCCAATTACTATAAAACGAATCAAATTTATTGTTTGAAAGTTAGCCGTTCACTCATAAGGTAGAGCAAATGCAACATGGTAATTCGAACAACACAATATTAACAAACTTGATTGATTAAAACTTCACTTACCCAAAATCAAAATACTCACAGAACAGTAACCACAAGTAATTAACTTCTAACTCAGTAATTGAGTAGTGCTAGAATCAGATGGCATTCCATTTGGATTACTGTTCAAAGTATCTGACGAGTTAGTTGAATGTGGGACTGTATTATCACACACTGCATCGTTTGTGTTAATCTTCTTATTGTCACTATAAATGCCTACAGCGACATCACCAGTGATGGACTCAAGTTTTTGTACAGTTGTTGCACTTGAAGTAGAGTCCGTAGACATACTCGATGTCGCCGTATCCATGGCAGCACCATCAGGAACCTCAGAAATATTACCACAATTTGATGATTGAGAACTTGAAATACCATTTTTCTTCAACGCAGTGAAAGACTTCGTATGATCTGATATCTGCTGACTAAGATCTGGAGTTTCTTCAACATGAAGAGATTCTTCTACAGAAGAGATTATATTTGAAGGACTTCCACTATACTCTGTATCAATGATATCTTCATTAAAAAATCGATCTAAACGAGATGCATATTCAGAAAATAATTCGATATCATTATGACCTGCTCCTTCAATCCAAGCTGGTTCAAGAGGATTAGTAAGCCGAGAATACAATTCTCTTCCATGATCTATACCAATGATCTCATCATCAGTTCCATGTATAATTAATGTTGGTGAAAGAATCCGAGATACTTTATCAATGCTAAACAATACCCAAAAAATGAACAAGTAGTAAGTTGTTTTGTAATAAAAACCCACAAACAAAAACTTGAAGAGCACTTATAAAAAAATTATATATTGACAAAAATATAATCTAGTCTTAATTATGAGTTACAATGAATATGGAACGATTGTCGTATTTGTTTACAAATTACGAAAAAAAAAGAAACTGGTATCGTACGTCAGTCAGTCAATCAGTAACAACGTAGGACTTCGTACGTACGTACATCAGTTCGAGTTGCCACACCACATTAGCACACAGATGCAGTGGTCGATTCAAATCCCATAGTGGTAGAGGTAATAAGAGTATAAGCAGTAATCGGGAAGATTAATGTTTGGAGATGTTACTTAAAGAGTATAATACAGTGAAATAAATTTGAGAGAAAAAAAAAGAAACTTGTATCGTACGGAATACAGAGAAATATGCTCATCAGGGAATAAAAAGTGCAATGCATAAAAAATATTAAAAATTAGAAAAGTACATTACACCAGTTTATGTATATTTTAAAATGTAGACATTTCAAATGAAACTATGAAACAGTAATTTGTACTCCTTATTAATGAAATATGGATTAATAAGACTAATTTAATGAAGAATCTAATTTACTGAAAATTGGTCAGTAGTTTAATTAAGGTCATTTTATAATTTACTTCAATATCATTTCAATTCACATCATCTCTTTACTACTATTTGTTATGAAGGGGAGTTTGGATCGCTAAGTAAATATATAGGGATTCTAATCGATAGATGGTATGGGATGATACAATGTAAGCAGGAATGGCCGTTTATCAGACCGAATTATAGAACTCATACCCGAAAAGACAGCTTAACAGTGGAAGAGGGTTTTACTTCTAACAAAACAATATGCTTACATCGCAAAATATTGAACACAAGAATAAATATGAATAGAAACCATAAATAAAGTGTTCGGGGATATAGAAACTACAGACGCCTACAAAATTAAATACAACTGTTTGCAGAAAATTGGGCTTTGGTTCAATAATATCCATTATTATTAAAAAATCTTAGATTTCCTATTTTACGTGATTGAAAAAGTACCCCAAAATCATGGGTTCTAATAATCGTCATTCCGAACGGATTATTCACATCAGATGAAAAGGGGAAGAGTACACAACAAATGTAACATCAGACACACCACAACCAACCTCATTCATGTAAAAGATGATGTACTGAAGAATTCACAAGTTAATTTTATCTACTATGAGCTGGGTGGTTTGGTCGTGGACCTTTCATCGTTCTTCTGAACATCGGCATTAGGTAGAAGTATTCAAATTTCTTCACGTATAACTCTAAGCTTGTCCTGTCTACCTCGATCTTGATTGGTTGTTGTTAATCTTTACCTTGTCATCGTCTACCTGTTTATTTTGATGGTATCACCTTTGATCTGATTCTTGGTTCTATATTTGTCCATGGTTTTTCTGATTGACTGGTAGATTGCATCGATTTCGATGTGTTAGTTGGTTGATGAATGCCGAGCTTCTAAAACTTCCCTTCTGTTCTTAGCATTCCCACTATCCAGGGTCCCAACATTCCCCCAGTTGAATATGTATCCACAGTTGTCCACATGAATTGGTATAAGTGAAGATATTTCATGGCATTTGACCGCTAATTGATGTTCATGAAGGCGAAGATAAAAGAAGCGTCCATCTTTTCTGACATAGTTTTTTGTAATTGGAACAGCTTATTTTGTAGATGATGTTCGGTTTTTCTTTTTTTGTCAACAGCTCAACCTGTTCAACCACCGAGAAATCCAACAGAGCTTGAAAAACGTGGAATATCTCCAGCCATAGGTTTACACACTATAATATCATGCCACAAGTCTGACTTTGATGATATTGATTATTCAGAAAAAATCTAAAAATAATTTTTTAAAAATACATTTCATAGCAGAAGCAGCTCACACAAAATGGAACCCAAATTTCGATAGAACAATGAGAAGACGAAGTTGATCTGAAAAATGTGATGTACTTGAGCTATACATTTCGAACAATCTGGTCACACATATACTTGTCAGGGCGTTTTATCTTTAAATTAATAAAGGTCAATTAAATGAAGGTTCAAGTAAAAAAGCAACAAAGGAGAGAGGAACAATTTTACATCGTATAGAAAGAATAAGAAATTGTCGCGTTATTCTAGGCCATACAATGACTTAAGGATTACCAGGGTAAATTCAAGGTTACGACAAATTGTTTTTGTACACATAAGGGGGGGGTTTAAATTTCCGAATAGCCAAGGCTATAATAAACCTGAGACTTCGGCCTTCACAATTTCTATACAACGTTTTAAAAGCTGTGCTAATATCAATTTTGTGCCCCGTTTCAATTATGTGATTCGCTTTCGCTGAACCTGATTTTCTACCTCCTACGTTGATCGGATCATTTCACAAACAATGATTTTGAAGCCATCTAGGCACATATTTACTGGCCTTTGATTGCATTGTTCGATTACTCTTCCCTATGTATGTGTGTCCACACAAACATGTAAACTGGTAAATACAATGGGATATGACGTAATCATTAGTGCATTGTCTAGGTCTCTCTGGAATCATGGGCTTAGACTTTTCAATCACAATCAATAGAGCAGTATAATAGGTTTTCTCTATGGCTGCTTTCAATCTCTGTCTTAAAACTATACTGTTGGATTCACCTATATATGGTAGATGGATATAAACTTTTTTCTTTAGAACTGAATAAACCAGAGGTCTTGGCATTAACTGACTTTTGCACTTATTAATAAACTTTAGTAGTTAACCATTTGCTATTAATGTGTCAGTCAGTAACTTTTTATCTTTTTCCAGAAGTGTCAGAAGTACAAATTCTTTGAGTCCTCTTAAAGAGACACTCAATCAAGCCTCGCTTGTATTACAATGGACAGAAACTATGGAAATTTCAGTATTGCCATGTTCATGTTGGTTTCTTATACACTGACTGTCTTAAAGTGCCATCCTCCCTTCGACTTTAAAATATGTCTAAAAAGGCCATTATTTTCTGCTTCATGTGTCATCACAATATCGTTTTGAACCCCATTGAGTTTATCTAATAACCGGTAAACATCAAAATCTTTATCACATATAAGTAGAATATCATCCATGTATCTCCTATATAAAGTTGCCTCACTAATGAGCTCGCTCGTCATATTTTCCACATATGACATAAATACATCAGCTAAGAGGGGCCCCAAAGGGCTACCCATAGCTACACCATCAACTTGTCGAAAATATTCACCATCAAACGCGAATTGAACATTGGAAGTGCATAATAAAAATAATTCTTTCAACAATGGTAACCAAATAGAAAAAAAGGGGAAATTTGTAGATATATAGTCACAAAGAAAATCCATCGTCTTTGTTAACGGTACATTCGTAAAGAGAGAGTTTACATCAAAGGAATCCAAATTGTCTGAATAGGAAATGCGGGGATAATACAGAATTTAGCCTGACTTTAACACAAACTTTTTTCTTCTTATATAATAACATTGTCAACATAAATGTCATAGGAAATTCTTTTTCAATACATCATAAACATAAGCTGATTTTCATAATTCATTACACTAAACAAATCAAACAATCTACATATTTCTGTTATCTTTATCAATTCATTCATTCGATGATACAGAAATACATTATATAAAATGACTTTGATAGATTTGCCACATTATAAGTTGCAATTTTGTAAATCACGGTTTATGATTACTTCGATATAGCTATTAACATTAAATAATGAGACGATAGTAAAAACAATTTAATTTGATTTTTTTCACTAATTGAAAAATACAAATTTCTAATAATTATAATGAATATCTGGGACTCAATTCTATACTACAAATGATCTAGTTGTGTATGTATTATGATTTCTTGTTTATGGTGAGTTATTGCCATGTGATTGATGTATGTTATCAAGTCATAAATATACAGAATAAATCATCCGGTTTTTCTCGTGCTCTAATTGGAGAAGTTGGAGGCAGAAAGCTTAGTGGGACAATCAGCACTAGAACACATAGTAGTGGGGGGTGACAAGCAATTAATCATTGACAGACTCAATAATTTAATAATCCCATTGAGTGAGCATATAGAAATTAGAGATATAACAATAAGAAAATGTGTTCATTATCAACTGATAATAATAATTCAACTTCATGAGAAAGATGAACTGTTTCAAAGTAAAAAAACAATCAGTCATAAATTTCAACTAACAACCAATTAGTTAATATTTAGGTAAACTTAAGTCCTAATACTATACACATGTGAAACTAGATTATTTTTAAAACCTTTCAATACATGGAATCGTATTTGTTTGAAGAAATATATACTAACTGAAAAATTAAATAAATACCGTGACTAGTAGAGTTTAGCTGAGTTGAGTGTGAGGAAGCTACCCACTGAAGACAACAGAAGTTGGTCCCGCAATATCATGAACTGATTGAAATTAGATATGTACACCAGAGAATCCCGGCTCAGTGGTCTAGAGGTTAGAGGTTCACGCTCTAGATAGAAGGTTTTGGGTTCGATTCTCAGTTGCGGGATCGCGGATGCGCACTGGTGAGAAATCCCAAACCAAGACGAAACAACTGCCCAGCGCTTCCAGATTTCCAATAGTTGTCTAACTTAGATCGGTTAGTGATTCCACAAGCCTATACCTATAAATCCCGAGGTTTTTCCATATGTTTTATTACTATAGAGCTAACCAAAAATAGTGAAAATATCATTACTATTATTCATTGCCTGAACAAAGGAAAAGTATGTTAAATATGTAAAAGAAAAAAGTTCACTGTGCACAACTTATAAATACAACAATACACCAGTAACATAAAAAGTAAGAATCCACAATATGATTAACCAATCCCAACAGTTTTTATATCAGATTTAATAAATGTAATGCACGGAGTGCATAAACACTCATTTGATACCAGAAATGTGTGAAAGTAGTTTATTTTCGGAAATTATTAATACCATGCATTTTTTCTACGAATAGATTTGATATAAAGTAAATTACGAAACGATTGACTACAAACATTCACATAAGATTCTATTACATTTAGTGTTAAAGAAAAAAAACTACATATTGTATACTTTTTTTAAGAAGTAGGAGTAGATTCTATAGTTGATTCATTTCATAACACAATTAATACAACTCTAATACATATAGAGGTAACGGGTATGTAAGGTTCTGTGTATAAATGATAAATAGATCGATAAAGCTATGATCTTCCATCAAGTACGGCGGTTGCATAAAAATTGTTATGCATATTTGGCTAACATAAATTTTTAATAAACTGAATAAACGCTAATTATAAACAAATTACAACATGGTATCAGTTCTATTTAAGCTGTATTGAAAGCTGAAGACTGGTTTTTGGTAGGAATATTCTTTTTTTGCAGTGATCGTACTATGGTATAGGCAAAAGCTATCAGTCAATCAGCTACAACGTAGGACCAGGCATATATATATAAGAAAAAAAGTTATAGTTGGTATTAGCTTAAAATAGATTTCCAAGAAATAGATACTTTCATTATCTAAATCTTTTATTAAAACATACATTTTTATGCTTCTTTTTATTTAACTAAACTTCTAATTTTTAGTATATTTGGTAGTAGGTGGCCAGTAGTGCAATAATATTTTGAAGTAACGAAATGCTTTCAATCAATTTCAGTCGTGGTTTTGCAGTTAGATCATGTTTTTTAAAATTTATTTTTAACATCAACTCTGGAATGCAGATACATACAGCTGACAGGTCTCAAACAGGACGTAACGCGCGTCCTGGATTCTACTGCTAGCCACTATCCATCTTTGCTTATAATTATTTCTTATGACTACATGATTGTTTATACGCCATTTTGATAAGTATTACGTAACAAACTTATGATTACACATGAGGATAAATGAAAATTATTATCTGTATTATAGAAATCTAACAAAAGTCAACAGTACTAATCAATGTGAAGCTTGGAAAATATGTTCATCGGCCAAAGTCACTACACCACACCATGACATCAATTCAAAAATATTAGTAGCAGATAAAGCGAAATAAATAGGAAGACTAGGCAATGAGAATATGATTAAAAATAAACAGGGTGAAAATATATTTACAAAAGAATATGGGGTTAAGTTATGGTGAAGAAAAATTGTCAATACAAGGATAATCGATGAAAGTAGGGAACTAGGCAAATATGGTAAACAAGCCGATGAGTTCGCAGGTTTTCATCGACTGAAGTGCCTAATGTATGTATAAGACGCATGCTTAACAACTACTTAACTAAACGTGAACTGCTAATCGATATTATTTATCTATTTATTTGAACATAAACATTAATACAACAGGGCACTAAAATAAATATGCACCCCACAATAAAAACAAAGTTGTGAAGAGATAGGGAAATGAAAGTGAGCACAATAAAAAAAAGAACATTGGTAGAATAAAAAGTTTGAAAAAAAAGCAGAAAAGCATGTTGGGATACTCACTTCGTGAATGGATCAAAACAGAAACGTCTAGTTGTTCCAGGACAGACGACGCGCAGACCAGACATAAATGGTGAATGAAGAACTACACCAGCAACCTGAAGTTAATACATATTTTTATTAGAGATTTATGATAAATCGCATAAAATCAACGAAATTTAATTGCTTATTTCATATGCCAATTAAACGTCTAAATAAATTAAAAATATAAAACAATAAAAAGGATAAAATGCACCTCGCTTTGCTTTTCTTGACACACTCAGACAGAAATGTAACAAAAATACTTCAACAGATGTATACCATGAATATTCGTGATTTCAAGAGAGAAGCAAGTTTTATTTATTTAATATACATACATACTGGTACAATGGACATCAAAAAGGTATGTACCATACAAATAAGAGGAAAATATTGTGAAGAAATAAAAGAGGGAACAACTTTCATACTTATGGACGAGCTGGGATGCTGTCAGGATATCCTTAGGATATTCTTAGTGGACCAATGTTCGAACCTTTAACCTGGAGCTGTAATCTATAAGACAGTGTAATAACATCAGGAAATGTAAACCTATAATAGCTGGCAACCAAACTACGTTTATAAGCCATTTGTCCTTTTAGGATTTTGAGGCTTTCGGGAAAAAGGATAGTGGACTCATCCCACCATTAAGAATACCAAGACATTTAGAGACTGACATTTAAATAATAGCCAAATGCTTTATCATCAATTTATATACACTATATGTAATTCACTGAAGTAACTGTTATCCAGTAATGATGACAAGGTGGGTAAAAATGAAGTCTGATAGTCAATGTCTTGATTTTAATGACAAGTGAGTATGACCTAGAGTTGGTTATGTATTAAATGAAGCTTAATTCGTATTTATTTTACGCGTTTAACATTTTGTAATTTACGTGTCAATTGATTAGGAAGAAAAAAATTTGATTTGATAGACGATTTCGTATTCTTTTTGTATATTGATATTAATTGAATTCGGTACTTGTGTTAATAATTCGGTCACGCGAATTATTATTATTATTATGATGATTATTATTATTATTATTAGGCAATAACTAATAATGAGTATTTTATAACAGTGATGGCAGAGACAGGATCAAATATTCGAAATATCAGTTGTTATGGATGAATGGTAATATTTATTCTTTCAATTGCCCCCAAATGCCCTGGTGCGGCCGAGAGTGGGGTGGGCCCGCCCTCACTCTCGAAATGCTCTCACATGGCCACGCGTATACAGCCTCTGCCAGGGAAATCCTAATCACTGCCTTCTCGTGGCGGGGGTGTTATCTACGAAATTGAGAGGACGTAAAGCGAATGTCCGGCGCTTTAACCGGATCCCAAACCAATGGTGCACATGGGCTCCAGTGTCCTGAAGGAACAAATGGCGTATGAACCAATAGTTGGTCACCGGCTACCATGGGACTGCATCTCCTCACGATGCTCCACTGCCTTGTGGGTTAGACCTTTAGATGCAAGGCTCGGGGAGTGGCCCCCTAAGAAAACCACCTGCTTCGGTCTGGGCACCCGGGCGGTATCCCAGCCCTTACACAAATCGAATGATTCATGTGGCGCATATCTATTTGGTGCCTCCTTGTACCAATGTTTATATGTTTAAATAAAATAAAAAATAAATACAACTGATCCAATCACAGTTAGAACCCATTTGAATATTGTATGAACATTTTCTCAATGAATGGAAATCCTAGTAATATACTAACGATTTATCAGTTCAGAGTTTTAAGTGTGATTAAGATAAAATAGAAATCTTAGTTCATACAATAGTTTAATAGATACAACTACAAAGTTGACGAAGTTTTCTAGTCACTGACAATCCAAAAATTAGGCAAATAATGGCCGTCAGAATTCTTAAAAAAATTCTTTTATTTTAAATAGATGATTGTTATTTGTTTTATGAATATTCAGTTGATTGTTCACCAAATTCATTTAACTAGTTTCTACAGTTTGTATATAAAACAAGCTCATATGACTGGCTAAGTTTTTAGCTGCAATAGAAACAAATACCACTTGAGTATATATATTAGTACAAATTAAATCAATGAAAGACTAAATAGGACGAAAAAAAATGAAGGTACAACTTGTCTCGGAAATCAAGTGGGGAAGTGAAGTAACTGTTATAACGCTCAAATTCTAACCATTAAGTTTCAAGTTTATGTTATCCAAGTCCTATATTCAACCAACACCAAATTACATACACATATATATATTCGATATTATTTAAACAATAGTTGATGCTTGTTACGTAGAAATTATAATCGAAAGTAAAATAACATGTAGTTCCGCTAAAATTCGGTATTCATTTCACCTGAAATTAATTTACTCAACAAGTGTGTTGGTATACATAAATTATTATGGAAAGTATATCACCCCACATAGTTGACATATAAATATTTCTGTGATATGAATTTTTGTTTGTTTGTCTACTGAACTACAACATTGAAATATAAAGGTAAACACATACATACACAAACACACACACACACACAGTGATTGACTAAAACGAAAAATGCCACAAACGAAATTACATAAAACCGGGTTTTATCAATAAAATTGAATACTCCTTTTTTTTCTCTCAACTGAATAAAAACTGTAAAAGTTGGAGACAAATTTATGAATGTCAGGTACAAAACAAATATATTTTAAAAAAAATTTTGAATGACTGACAAGAATAATAACGGCAATATGTTTAAACCAGATATAAACAAAGAATTGGAAATCTAGCAATCAATAAGAAACTTTTATAAATTTTGATGGAGTTTTGTTCTCTAAGCTGGATGATTTGGTCGTGGAGCTTTCATTGTTCTTCTGAATGACATCATCAGCACAAAATTCAGATAGAAATGAAGTGTTCGAATTTCTCCCCATGTAGTTCACAGCTTGTCCTGTAGACTTTGAGGTCTTGAAGTTTATGCTGACAGTGTCGTTTCGAAGAACGATGAAAGCTCCATGATCAAACCATCCAGCTCAGAGAACAAAACCCCATCAAAATCATTCACCTGATCTACAAATCTTCTCCACTATCCCACTTTCATAAATGTTTGGAAGAGAACAAAACAATGTTTCACTTGTACGATTAAACACATTATTTTAGGTTGAAATAGTAAGTCGACTTAAATGATTTAGATATGTTACATATGCATTTTAGCCACCAAATACCATGAACTACAAAGCTGGCGTAGGAATAGGTTGAAATGGAATCTAAAAGTGACCAAATGAAGAAATGTCCAGAATTTTCCGAAGTCTTCTTGATATCGATAACCGACCTAACTTAGCTATAATTAGAAATCAAGCACCGGATGGCTTTTTGGTTTTAGTATAGGACACGAAAACACTGAGCATCAACGAACCTACAAGAAATTGAATCCAGGACATCCGATCTCTCTGAAAACGCTTGACTCCCAGACTACTGACTCGACATCCAATTGTGTACATGTCTTACTTTAGGCTATGCTGAGATCAATACCTGTCGGGCTGAGCCATGTTGAAAAGTGTATATTTAATGGATTGAGATCCACCGTGATGACTGTTATCTCCATGGATTGTGCAGTTTTGCAATCCATAGTAGACGCACCATTACACCTGTTCTTTATATACCCTTCAATATTGAACTGAATGCCACTACATGATATGAATTCTGAAATTTAATTTTCTCCTTTTACATCACATTCCGTATGACTAACTCAATATTCATATTTCTTCAGCTAGTTCTTTTTGGCTCCTTGCTCAATTTATTTAACGTTTCATCATCATCCGATTCAGGCGCAAATACATGCGCTTCCTATAAGCTTGGCAAAACTGTTAAATAATGTCAACAAGATTGTGACTTCAATTTACTAATCACCCACACAGCGTTAATAGCGAAAAACCCCTCATACTCTGCAATTATGCACTTATTTATACCTCAATTCATATCACCTATAGTATCATGTGAACATAATATGTAGGTTTATTGAAAGAGTATGTTACTCAGTGGATTATCAACGTTTTTATGTACAACGAATGGAAGAACATATGCACAACATCAAAATGCAAATTCAACAATTCCATTTAAAGTTGAAGATAAAGCACTATTATTATGTTCACATGATATAATGAGTGATGTGGGTCAAGATACGTTTTCATGGTTGTTGCAGTGATTGAAGATGAATTATTTGTCACTATTTCAAAAAATTTCGGTTTGTTTGTTGACTACTTGAAGAAATACAGAAATTAGGTTACCAACGAGAATGTTTCTTGACCGGATAAAGATAAAACAAACTAACATTACCATTAAATTCATGTCGAGAAACATATTTTCATTTATAAATACAGTCTAAACTGATAACATTAAGAAAACGATTTGTCGAATTTGTTTGAATAGTCGTGGACGAAGAAACATCACATCAGATTATTCTCTTTTCATCCAGAAGATATTGACAAAAATTTTCAAGATTTTCAGAATCTTCTGTATTTCATTCATTTAAATAAACAATTTATTTACTTGGAAAATTTGCCGAAAAGATATGTTATGCCTCTTCAAATTCTTTTGGTGCGTAATTTATAGCTCCCAGTGATGGAAATGCTATAAGAAACGGCATGTCGAGAAAAAAATTATCTGCGGATGAGACTACATTTCGGCCCGAATCTAAGTTAGTAACAGTGTGATGGTTAGAGCTCATCGTTCCTAATGAGGTAATCATTGCGTAAACTGTCTTTTATATCGACTTTAATACAAAATCGACCAATGGTATATTTTTTTCTAATTATCAATCTTATTAGGCAATAAGTAACAGGGTTACATAGGTCGAAAGTATGAAAGCTTCAACAGTAATGGACGATATTAGAATTACTAACTGCGAAGACCAAGAAATGACAATAAACCGTCAATTAATAAATCAAATCAATTTTACAAAAATTATAGGTATATATACGTCTTCTTTTGAACCAAGCAAGGACATACAGACTGAAACCTTGACTAGGTGGTTAATCCGCGTCCTTCAATATTGTGCCTTATGTACAAACTCTCGCCTAACGTTTGGCCCTGAGATAACACATGGTCACCGGCATGTGACATGTCAAGATCCTTTATCCCCACCTTATCAATATTATGATATGAGAAGCGACGAATTTATTGAGATACATTTGTCCCAGACCCTACATTGTCACCGAACCAACTTCTACTGACTACCATCCAATAAATGCAGGTACTAAGGAATACTTAGTAGGACAGTATGTAGTATTCCATTATAAGATTTGCAGGATCAAAGTTTGTATTTACGTCAGATTACAAATAGGTAAACTATTCTATAAATTAATACTCATATTAATAATTAAATTACAAAAGAAACTTTGAACTGACAGAACAACTCACCTGTATGATGTCATTTTATTAGTTTTCAAGATAACAAAGAAATTATTTCTAGAATTAATCACAATGACTTAAAACTCATCCACCTTTCTTATTACCGTTAAGATACTAAATGTTTTATTACTCCTTATTTAACTTTCCTCTTCAATCTATGTTTATTTAAATGCAATCTTAATCCTATCAACCTCAACCATTTCGCGTGTACGTGAAATTTAACAACTTAAACGGAAAAACTTCTCTGAGATGTTCTACGTTGATATATTACTCAAATCTATCAACAATTACTCCACTAATAAAATATATTGATAAATGGTTGTTATTGCATAGTTAAACAATTAGATGGATGGGAAAAAAAGGATTTAAGATAGAACTAATTTTTTCATACAACTGTTATCATTCTAATTCAAATTAAACAATCAAGTAGTTGGCTTGCACATATGCCTATTACTGTCTTATAACAAACGATTAAAACTTGCCTTAAATTTAGGCAAACTTCACAATTGAAACATACAAAAATTTTCATCCATAACCTGTCAAAAATACTAACATTCTCAAGTGTATGTACTCATATATATATATATATATATATATATCACAAATTGAAACAAACATACTTTATATTTAGTCGCTAATTCAACTGTTGGAGCAGTCCCAATACTCTGTCCATATAATACAATACGATTAAGTGGCACATTAAATCGTTCACGTAATTCATTCAATACTGCATCAGCATCAGCATATAAATTCTCTTCTAACCGTTGACCAGAGCTTCCCCCATAACCTGAATAATCATAGCATAAGATATTTACACTGAAACGATATGCTAGTGACTGAAGAAATCCAGCCATCTGACAGGAAAAAAAAGAGGGCGGAATAAGCAATTAGAAAACAAACAAGAATAATTGGTTTTAGGTTACAACTGTCAAATACATAGGGCATCAAAATATCGATCTAAAGCAATTAACTTAACATCGGTTAGGTCAAATTTTATGTGACAACTTTTTTGCCTTAATAATTAATAATATATTGGTGTATGCTTGTTTGACATTAAATGCGGCACACAATCGTTAAATAACCATATACACAGATAATGATGAACGATAAAACAACAACATATAACATGACAAGGACTAGATCTGTACAGTTCGGGTAAAGCTTCTGTTTAAATATCAGGAGCTCTTATTAGAATTATATAAATATAAAAAATGAAAGACAGAAAATCTAGAACTTTAGACCAATTTTATGATTAATTGATCATGTAATAGAGAAGACAGACGTGTATGATTCTTCATACGTCTGGTTACGTCAGTACACTACATGATTACCTCAATTTAATATTAAACTAGGTTTTGCTGAAAATTAGTCCTAAGACATTCATAAACTTTGGTGGAAACAAAATATTCATTAGGAATGATTTACAGGTTTTAAAGTTAGATTATTAAAAAGTCTATAGGAAACCTTGGATCTAGGTTCCTTATTGGTTGCACTCAACAATATATACCTGTAATCTGTGAAGCTGGTTGACGCGGAATTACAAAAGTACCAGTTCCTCCAAGAGTGTGAGTAAACCTTGTTAACGAGTGCTAACTAGTGCAAAAAATAGGTTCAGGGTTTATTCTAGACTACCACCAGTGACCTAAGATCAGAACATAGTCCATACGATATCGAATCACAAACGACTAGTTACAATGAAATTTGATCGATAAGATTCGATCTTCATTAAGGAACAGACAAACACAACATTGGCCAATATCCAGTGGCCAACCAACATAAACAGTTTGTATAATTAAACCCTATATTGTACTTTTAAATGTACTTTTTGAATCATTGCATTTACAGATGATGCATTAGGCCTATACTATGGGAATTTCAAGTGATTCACGGGATTGATGAGAACTAAGATGCGAAAATAGCTCCTGTAATCATTTCCTCCATAAAGAAAATGGAAGAATGCAGGAAGAAGATAACCACAGTGAAAATACAACCACCATCAAGCAATGCAATGATTTACGGTACTTTACCACAATACTAGGTAAATGTGTGCGACGGCTGCTAGTATAGAAGTAGGCTGGAAGAAAGCTAGAGGCGGCCAAACTGAAAAGTTGGATTATCCCGTGAATTCACTAACCGCTGGTTAGAGCCATGCTGGCAGATACAGACTACCTGATCAGTGTTCACATCAGGACCGTTATCGGTTATCGAAGGCGTTGGATGAAGCAATAGACCCATCGTTCATTTTGCCTAATATTTACTTGTAAAACGAAATTTCTCCAATGAATTAGATTACATTACCAAATACTAATGAATAGCTTTTCAAAGGAATGTGAACACTTAAACTAGAGCACTCTGTTGTGCCGAGAACAAAAGCATGTAAATGCATAAATTCTACACGTGACTCGTTAAAAAGGACGTGGACTTTAATGTAAGAAGAGACAATTTGATAAATGCATTCCAAAAATAGATATCTTTCTATATTTTTAGATGAAAGACTGAAGGCAGAAAACACATAAATCAACACTTAAACAAAAAATCAATTGAGTGAAAGAAAGTTTACTTTTCAGGTTACTAGGTTATGTAATTTCAAACTGAATGAGAATATGCCAGTTTGCTAACATGTTAGAAGAAATGCACATATATACAAATCTAAACTGAAATAATTACTTTTAATTCTGTTCATATGCGGGATAACAAAACGGATTACTATTGACTGAAACAGGAAATGAATAAAAACTGTAATGTTGATATTTGGTGTGTGATTAAATCCAAAGTTAGTTAAATTAACCGATGAACCCGCTAATCAGGATTGAGTAGGGGAGCTAGAGCGTGTTACGAATTCTGAGCTAGTCTATACTAATGTCCGATCTAACATGGAGTAAGACTATCACTGATCAAAATATTTATTATTAGAGATCGCTAACTCCATGTTTCAGCTATTAGGAGGGATGCTTCTGGGTTTTTTTTTTCGAGGTTCACAAGAATTTGCTAAGAAACTCTTGATGGAGTAATTCGAAATACATTACACAAGAGTATCAAACAATTTATTCTTCGTGTATCCTCAACATTCAAATACCTTAGATCAATTTCTTCACAATCTGTACGTTTGTTTTCTCTTTGTGTACAGATGTTAATGATAGCCAAATGAAATGTCCTACTTATGCAACTTTTTAAGCCACATTTTCGCATCTAATCCACTCATCATTAACTCTACATTAATATAAAATTCATTTTTCCAAAAACAGAAGGAAAGCCGACAAATATAATTTGACGTGGAATACGACATGAACTTCATGTTTCATAAAATACAGTACAGTCCTGCTATCAAATTTTTCTATTAACCATATATACCGTAACTTGACGATCTAACCCCAATGAGTAGGACAGGATTAAAGTTCTTAATCCAATAGATTGAAGTCAAATGCTATAATAAGTAAACTGCTAATCTGGAAAGTCTGGTCATAAGCAGAATATTTCGGGTTTTTATTATTTCAGAGTTGGTTCGTATGTAAATAGATTACTGTTATTTTTCTCTTTGATAAACATACCTGACCAATATCAACTGCGTTTCCATGACTGAATAATACCGTATAAGTTGGTTGATGTGGTGAGTTAGGTTGAACTGATCCGAACCGACCTTCGTCTGTAAGAGTTGGACAACTAACACTAAGTGCAGGACTTCTCATTCTTGATTGACCAGAAAGGCCACGACGAGAGGATATATTTGACGAGAACTGAGGTGAGACAACAGAATTCGCTGGGATATGCATACAAACAATTCGAGATTGACGCTTTGTCAAAGTATAGAAAACCTAGAGGAATACAGTAAAAGGTAACAATATACTCGCAAAATCATCAGCACCGACAAAACCCAGATCAATAAGGTTAAAGTGAATATATCGTAATGTGAGTGTCTTTGAAATCTATTAGGATGAAACGCTGATTCCGTTTAAGGACACCTAAGATACAAATGACCCTAAGATCATAAACAGAAAAAAAAACTAAAGACAGGATGTTTAGAGCCCTCACCAAAGAACGAAGAACGGTGGTCCAATCGCTGAATCACTCGACTTTTAACAACCGAATACGTAAATTTGATCGAGTAAGTATCCACCCACACAACTTTCATATCATGTTTTACGATACAGTTGAGTACAGCAATCATTCGAGACACCGCATTTCTTACAACCAAGTTGTTAAGTTGGTCATGGATAACAGTAAGGTTGAGTACTAAGCAACGAGACGAAAACCAAATCACTCAAACTTCGTATGATTGCTTTTCGTTTTGGAGCGGATTTGATAATGTGAAAGTTAGGTAGAATAGGCCAATTTTTATACATATCAGTATATTTGAAAAGCATGAATCAGTACCCCAAAAAGTTGTAGCTAGGCTTTCTAAGCACTCAGATTAATCATTAAGTTGCGGGTTCGAGATCATCTTTATCAACGTTAATTTGATTGGTCACGTAAAAACACAGGTAATAATAACAATGAACTTAATCCAAGTAAATTCATTAATGCACAGGGATGAGTAACAGATTTTTTTAGTTATCTATACTACTCAAGTGCCTAAACCAACGTATGGTAGTATTATATTTAAATCTGTAAGTTGAAAACTATTTTAATACTGGCACTATATATCTGTTAAACAACAATAACACCTTAGCGATTAAAAGTTTCAAAAGAAATGACGGAGACCGTATGGGGAGAGTTGTCCTTATAACAATACACTATAATTATACTTCATCCACCCCACCATTCGAGGTTCTAGGTTAACACTACCATATAGACTGAGAAAGTGCATCCCCACTAACTAACTTATTGATGTTTAACCTAATACCACGTTCAAAATTTGAAAAACTAATTGGATTGTCCTGAATAAAAATGGGTAAAAACGTTCTAGACAAATACCTATCAGTTAAGTACCTACCACATATCTAAATTAACATAAAATTTTAGCAAAATATTATTCGGGACTTCTTATTTCTGTACAACCAAAAAGTTATTATTAGTTTGATCTAATAATTTTCAAAATAAAAAACATGGACCATCCAAGAAGGTTTTGAATTTAAAGAGTTATTCTGAGTCGAGATAACTGCGAATAAAACTAGTTTGTCGGTATTTCAATACTCGAGAGTATTGCACATGTTTTCATCAAATCAATACCAAGAACAAGAACACGACTTGATTATCAAGTGTAACTTCATGATTTAAATTAACAATGTTCATTTGGAGCACTTCACAGCAGTAAAGAATAAAAACTAAGGTAAACAAAATAAAAATACAGCCATAAACATCATCCCAGAACAATAAAGACCATGTCATCACGGACTATCTGGAGGAGACTAAGGTCATCAAGAACAATAAATGGTAGAATATGATAATCACTTACCGTTAACTTGGATTTTATGTCCTCGGATATTTGCCAACCAGCTTCAGGTTTGAACTCAATGCAACATGTGGAATCATTCGCTGATGATATGATAGAATAAGTTGGTGGTGGCGGTAGAAATGCCAATTTCGCCACGATATGAGAAGGTCGGGGGGGACAACAAAATAATTGACATATCTCGCCAAAAAGACTTGACATACTAACCATTTGAGGTCGTGATAGATCCGAAAGAATGGAATGATATCAGGATTAAGAATCCAGTTTGATCAGCTCTATAAACGTAAATTAGCAACAAATATGTATCACACTGAAGAAACAACCATGAACTAAATAGAAAATAAGTATTAAATGATGATCGATATCACATAAACTGCAAAAAATTAGGATTGGGATCGCAAAAATGAACGAAACAAAATAGAACGACTAAACCTCATTGCGAACGATAGGGTGTATTTCTACTTACGAATCCTTGTATCAGTTCAACACCACACAAAATTTTGATCTGAAATGCGGTAGAATTTTAGTTTCACATACATGGCGAGAGCAGATACATACATTTCCGATTTTTTAAGTACCACCACAGGTGACGTGAGGATGCAAAGCACATAAATTAATTAACTCGATAAACAGTAAATAAAGATAGGACCCAGAAATAATAGGGTCTGAAAAACATGCAAAATAAACAATTCAGAAGCTCTGACTTGGATCGCACAACTCTTACCTAAGCTATCAACCATTATAAACCGCGAACTAATTGCCAAGACAAGTCATCAGATACAGCAAATGCATATAAGCATATATATGTGTCCATATCTATAAATTACACAAGCATTTAGTAGAAATACTCAGAAGTGAATGCACCAACAACTCCACAAGCACATTAACACGTCCTTTGCAGGTAAACATCATACTCAGCTTTAATATTACGCGTTTGTTCATGTTTATTTATATCGGCTGCTATAGCAGTCGCCTTCTTGAAATACATGAACTTGTAAGGACAGGCAAAGTGACCGACTTGGGTCCCAGTCGACTCCTAGTTATCCACCTTTCAAACTTTGTTCTTTTTGCTCTGTCCTTTTTACATTAAATCCCATCCTTCATGTCTAGTAGTCTAAGAAAAGTATTGATGTCTAGTATCGTGATAGAATTAACACAGACTGATTAATTTTCCTTAACCACACTGTCAAACACTTCTGCACAATGGGTTGCCAATATACTGTGTGGGAGGTTCAATATGATATACCAATCAAAACCAACCGATTCAAAAACCCGCCAGTGTAGTGAGCAGCCTTTCAAACTCAAGGACAACATCTTAACCTCAAGCTTCAAACACTCAAACTCTCATACTTTGATTCCAAGAGCTGGAAAACTGCAATCATTTAATACGTCCTTCGGTGTTATACAAGTGATGCTTGTGTCACTGAAAGTCGTGATTCTAGTAGGATAAAAACTGATTAAATATAGGAGTTATCAACAGATAGTACTTAGAGTAGTCTCCCTCAGCACCTTAGGAAGAAAAATAAACGTTGAGTTTTCTTTTGAGTGAAATCAAAGTAAGGTGGTCTTCACTATCTTTCCCACAGTTTACGAATTCTAATCACGAAAATATCCCCGTGTGCATTTTGTTGACAGTTCGACAAGAAGTTGGAAAATTCTCCAATCGAGCCATTAAGAACTCCACAATTTCTGATCAAACCTATCAAACTGACTGTTCTTTCAAGCTACACAAGGATGTGGTTATTTTTTATGGGAGTATGTCATCCACAAATCCTTTAGGAACAGAATATTCATTAGTTGGAAGAACTGTGATAGAGCACCTAAAATAATCCCACTCCGTACCTTTGGACCTGGTGTAAATGTCTAGCGTTCTTATAATGCAATTACTAAGAAGTTTCGTTAACATCCATTCCACGAATCAATTATGTGACTTATACTGTTACCATGAGAACATTTGCTTGTGTTTTTGTGAACGCTTTCCGATATTTTACTCGTAAGTGATGTTCTCCTAGGTGCTGTTTTGTGCTGAACCCTAGCCAGATTGTTTGTCAAGCTGAACTCACACACCCTATAGATTACTGATGAATGATAGTTGGATATCGTGGTCATGGATGGCTAACGTGGATTGGTCAACCAGTGCCGCTAGTCTGGTAGATATAACAGTGGAATCGCAATTCAAGCGCTTTGGCGCTTTCTAGTCAACTTAAACCAATAAAACACTTCAGTGGTTAGATTCTACACGTTCACTAAGTGCATCGCGAATCTAAACCAACATGATCACCAAGTTGGAGTCACTCCGACTAGGCAGTCTTCGTTGGGTTTGGCTTGACCATAAGATTAATTATGGTGCAATTCTTCAACAAACTAGCCCCAGCTGTTACGACAACTGAGATCGAGAAGATTATCGATGATATCACACAGCGCATTGATATCTCCCCACCTACCTTTATCCTTTCGAAATTGAACTCTCGAATATCACATTGCCTGGGTCAACGTGGAGTAATTTGGCACTGTTGTTAGCGGGAATATATATATATATATATATATATATATATATATATATATATATTGGAGTAATCAGGTCACCATCTACTTAATAGTAACTTAGCGACCCTTCTTCGTGGCCTGGGCACTCTTAAGTGATACTCGCCCAGTTTATTCAGTGTAGCTTACTTATTTACTTACTTATGCCTGTTACTCCCAGTGAAACAGAGACTTCCAACCAGCATTCCCCAACACACTCTGTTTCACTCTGCCTTCCTTTCTAGTTCTATCCAATTCTTGTTTGTTCTTCTCATATCTGTCTCCACTTGGTGTAATGTGTTCTTTAGTCTTCCTCACCTCCTCCTTTGGCCTTGAGGATTCCATGTGAGGGCTTGCATTGTGACGCAGTTGAGTGTTTTCCTCAATGTGTGTGCTATCCAATTCCAGCTCTTCTTTCTAATTCATTCCTCCACTGGAAACTGATTTGTTCTCTCTCAAAATAGGTTGTTGCTGTTGTAACGTGTTGTATCCATCATAAGAATCCCGTATGTATTATCATTATTATTGTTTGCATGTAAAGTGTCGAGCAGTTTATTCCATTTCATTTGGGTTTCAGGAAACGCTAGTCCATCGGCAAGTAGTAAGATGATCAGTATCTGGTGTTATTTGGGAATGGTTACTTGTCCTAAGTTGTTCTTTCATCATCAATGGTCTCGATGGTATTGGAATTCGAACCATGGTACATCTCAGTGTATCGCAACAGATAAGGAGAATTAATCAGCTCCAAAGGAGTGGGATGTATAGATAATAACTATACCACTTACATCGTCTGATGATGAGGTTCATTGTCACTTATTTTGACGGTAAGATGGGTGTCAACTAGGTTGTCTTGTTGAAGCTTGTTGATATGTAGTGGCATTGGACCATAACCACACAATCCTCAAAGCCGAACATGAGACAACTCAGAAAATAGATATTCAATATTTAACGCGGAGAAATACCTAACGATGGAGAAGGCGGGAAGAAGGTATTGAATGAATTAGAGTTGATCGAACGGCATGGCTCGGCCATGCAGGCGTGGTCCCTTCTGAATGTTATCTTATATCTTCTATTCATATTAAATATATTGTTCTTTCTCTAGCCTAACCTTGTTCTACATCATGTATTGGTAATTGATACGATGCAGCGAGTTGGCGTAGTCGATGGTGTGACTTCCACGTAAGATCTTATAGATTAGGCAGTTATATCATGACAAATCTACAAATTTAGGATTAGGTCTATTATTAGAGCAGCACTAATGTTATAGTAGACCATAATTCTGCAGATACTTATCAATTCACACCGAAAGCAGATTTTCTCAAGCTTGTTTATACAAGTCGGCTGATCGGTCCGCCTGTCATCCAGTCAACTACATCCTGAAGGCGATTATTGTCTTGTACGAGCAGCTGTGGCTTGAGGTCACCAACAGTAGAATTATATTGTAATATTGTGTTCAAATTTTTCTCGCAAATTACAAGCAATAAACTCAAACATATAGCTCTATTAATAATTATAACAGTTGCACAACATAACTTCAATTTTTAGGTTTCTGACGCAAACTTTCCGAAGTGCCCAACCAAAACAGTATGAAAGCCAAAATGTCCGGGGTTAAAGTTGGAAATAATCAAGTTCGAAAATTGAGCAAAACAAACGTACCCAACTTCTAAATTTGTTTGTTTATATCTATGACTTCGGGCATTTTGTCTTCACCGTGTTTTCGGTTTGTTATTTTGGAATTTTTGCTCAGGAAATCTGAGAATTGTGGAACCATATATTTGAGTTGAATACCTGTAATTTTCAAATAAACTCATGCCTGAATTGTAATCTAGTCTGTTAGGATAGTCGAAAAAATATACCAATAATTATCGTGTTAAGTCTATGGTGGCCTTGGACCATAAATGTACATTTCCTATTGGTCGATGTTTATTTCACTTGTTAAATATTGTGTAAATGTTGTTCTCTATTTTATGGTACGATGTGGTTTGTTTGTTTGGTATATAAATAGAGTATGTCTGAAATACAATGATTCATAACTCAGAGGCTGTGACTTGTGTTCTTGACTCAACTGGCTACGACAGACAGCGAAGCAGGGCCAATCAGGGCACTAGGTCGTCCACTACGTGTTTGCGTGTCCACTGTGATCGATCGATATAAAACGCTGCTTATCAAAACCTGCAGTCTCACCCGTTACAACATAGTCCTATTGTTATTTGTGGTAATAAGTTACGAATGGATTAATGGACCATGCTTCGATAATGGACGAGACCAAAAACATCGATGTCACAATGCTGACTATAGAAACAGGGGGTCGAGATTCAGTGTGTATGAATCAAAATAAGGCTTTGATTTCATGTCTGATTTAGGATAAACACTAGCTGCAACTAGCAAATATTGTGTTTCGTGAACAGATAATTTGATGTTTTTAACTACTAACGTACATCTAAGTAAATTGACAAATAGGTCATCTTTTCCTTCTATCTGGAACTGATCATTTGAGAAGACATTCGAAGAAAGTTCTAAAACCAAAATTAAATCGTCTACGTCTGGAGTTTCGTTTTTCGCACCGATTAGTCAATTACTGAAATTATGCACCAAAACACGTAATATCAGCACCTGTTGATACAATCAGATTTGTGTAGTAAGGATAGAAGACCTACGGCCTATGTTATTCCTTTTCTCGTATGCTT